TTTGCTGATATCATAATTGTATTTGGAAACATTTATAACTTCAGATTTATGGCAGAATAACTTTATCTCTTTATACGCATGATATTTTAGTAGCGTTATTCATAATTGATTGGTCAAGATAATCATTCCCAAAATAAATCTAATAACTTTAATCAAAATAACGAATTGGTTCTTATCGTACGTTTTTATCTTTTACTTATCAATTCTTATTTTAAAATTTTACAATTAATTATTGGATTGTTCAGGGAGATTCAAAAAGTAAATTAATAATAGAGATACTATGTAGGTCACGATTTCCAATTAGAAAATGTTGATAATGGCTTAATTAGCTGGAAGAATTTAGTATACCAATTAGTTCCAAATTATGAAATTGATTTAATTGAAAACGAAATTCTTTCGAAGTTACAATTTAAGTGGTAACATAGTTTGGGCATTTAATAATCTTTGCAATAATATCTACTGATAAAAATGTTTCTTGAAGCATTTCCTTCTACTACTGGTAGTTAATAAAGATGGTTATGATGGTACTTGATATTAAACACAGCTTTGTAACGCAGCTATTCAGGAATGTATGATAATAGTGGCCAAAATAGGGCATAGGGAGTTGCCCTGAGAGGTCTAAATTATTGAACAACAAATTAACTAAATGCAGCAATCGATTATTTAAGAAATGGGAAGTCAAAGATTTCCATTTTAGCAGTATATGTATTAAGTTTAAATAAACGACTTTGTAGTACTTTAACTGGTTTTATTATCGAAAAACTTTTTCTGTAAAAGATAAAGGTGTGTTGAGGTATCTGTGTAAATATGCTCTAAAAGCTGACAATTTATGAGTTTTATGATGGTTCTGTAAATTTTAAAATCTATTTTATTTTTACTATTGATAAGTGTAAGGTCTAAAAAGTTAAGTTCGTTGTTATTTTCTGTTTCTAAAATGAATTTTATGTTCTGATGTAAATTATTAATATAAACTGAAACTGATTTATGGTATAATTGCTATTGTTATAATATTGTTACGTCATAATTTAATATTTTTATTATTATTGTTGTTGTTATCTAAAATTTTATTTTCAAGTTTATTTAGAAAAATATCTGAGAGGAGGCCGCTTAAGGGAGAACCCATTGGCGGACCTTTATTGTATTTGTAAAAAGTATTATTAAAAGAACAAAAATTTTGTTCTGTACAAAGTTTCAGTAAATTATATACTTGTTCTAAGTCATTATTATTAAGTTTGTCTTTAATTAAGTTTTTAACAATGTTTAAGGTCTCCATAACTGGTATGTTGGTGTATAAATTCGTAACATCTAGTTATATGTTTTGGATGGTGTTAATGAGACCAAGTCAGTCATTAACAGTAAAACTAGCTTTAAATTGTATAATGTTTTTGAAAAATTGAATAAGAAATTTTGAAATTCTGTATGTGCTGGAATCTATGTATAGATGAAATAATTGGTCTGATTGGATGATTGTTTTTGTGTAATTTAATTAAAGAATAAACTAATTGTGTTATTTAAGGACAATATTTGTCGAGTGAACCCACAAACAAAATTATATGGCGGAAGGAACAATTTACTTTGTATCCTGTCCACGCAATTTGAATATTACTCCGTTCGATGAGATAAACGATGTATAATAAGTATAAGAAATAAGATTAAATAATTACCAAATATCAATAACAGCATCCTTTTGTCAGTAAAGACGAAGTAATTTGATGGAGCACTTTTAGTTCTTGAGATACAAGGTTTTGAACATAATCAAAATTTTTGGCAATAATTACGATATCTAAATAAAGTTTAAATAATTGTGAGAAGAATAAGTCAATTTTTACTAAATGATCACCAAGTATCAATAAAAGCACCCTCTTTTCAATAAAACAGCCTGCATTGCAAAATCTCTTTTACTTCTTGAGATACAATGTTTTGAATATAAGTATAATTTTCAGTAATATTTAAGTGATTTGTATTAAATTTAAACATTTGTGAAAGATTGAATCTTTTGTAAATTTTGACTAAATGTTCACCACATAACAATAAAAGCATCCCCTTATCAATAAAGAGGTCCAATTTGATGGAGTACTTTTAGTTATTGAGATACAAAGCTGTGAACATAATTAAAATGTTTGGCAATAATTTAATTTATCAGCATAAAGTTTCAAAAATTGTGAGAAATTGAACTATAAGTCAATTTTTACTAAATGCTCAGCAAGCATCAATAAAAGCATTCTATTTTCAATAAAATAGTCCGCATTGCAAAATCTCTTTTAGTCCTTGAGATACAAGGTTTTGAACACAATCAAAATTTTTAGCAATAATTACGTTGTCTAGATAAAGTTTAAATAATTGTGAGAAGTAATAAGTTAATTTTTACTAAATGATCACCATGTATCAATAAAAGCATCCTCTTTCCAATAAAACAGTCCACATTGCAAAATCTCTTTTAGTTCTTGAGATACAATGTTTTGAATATAAGTAAAATTTCCAGTAATATTTACAAGTGATTTGCATAAAGTTTAAACATTCGTGAAAGCTTGAATCCTATGTAAATTTTGACTAAATGTTCATCAAATGTCAATAAAAGCATCCTCTTTTCAATAAAGAGGTTTAATTCGATGGAGCACTTTTAATTCTTGAGATACAAGGTTTTGAACATAACCAACATTTTTAGCAATAATTACGTTGTCTAGATAAAGTTTAAATAATTGTGAGAAGAATAAGTCAATATTTACTAAATGATCACCAAGTATCAATAAAAGCATTCTCTTTTCAATAAAATAGTCCGCATTGCAAACTCTCTTTTAGTTCTTGAGATACAGTGTTTTGAATATAAATAAAATTTTCTGTAATATTTAAGTTATTTGTCCTAAATTTAAACATTTGTGAAAGATTGAGTTTTATACAAATTTTGGCTAAATGTTCAACAAATATCAATAAAAGCATCCTCTTTTCAATAAAGTAGTCCAATTTGATGGAGCACTTTTAGTTCTTGAGAGACAAGGTTTTGAACATAATCAAAATTTTTAGCAATAATTACGTTATCTAGGTAAAGTTTAAATAATTGCGAGAAGAAATAAGTCAATTTTTACTAAATGATCACCAAGTATCAATAAAAGCATTATCTTTTCAATAAAATAGTCCGCGTTGCAAAATCTCTTTTAGTTCTTGAGATACAATGTTTTGAATATAAATAAAATTTACAGTAATATTTAAGTTATTTGTCCTAAATTTAAACATTTGTAAAAGATTGAATCTTATGCAAATTTTGACCAAATGCTCATCAAATGACAATAAAAGCGGCCCCTTTTCAATAAAGAGGTCCAATTTTATGGAGCACTTTTAGTTCTTGTGATATAAGCTTTTGAATATAATCAAAATCTTTACCAATAATCTGGATAAAGTTTAAATAATTGTGAGAATAAGAACCATAAGTCAATTTTTACTAAATGATCACCAAGTATCAATAAAAGCATCCTCTTTTCAATGAAACAGTTCGAATTGCAAAATCTCTTTTAGTTCTTGAGACACAATGTTTCGAATATAAGTAAAATTTGCAGCAACATTTAAGTGATTTGCATTAAATTTAAACAATTGTGAAAGATTGAATCGTATGGAAATTTTGACCAAATGTACACCAAATAACAATAAAAGCATCCCCTTTCCAATAAAGAGGTCCAATTTGATAGAGCACTTTTACTTCATGAGATACAAGCGTTTGAATATAATCAAAATATTTAGCAATAATTAAATTGTCTTCATAAAGTTTGAAAAATTCGGAGAAATCGAACTATAAGTCAATTTGTACTAAATAATCATCAACCATCAATAAAAGCATCCTCTTTTCAATAAAATAGTCCGCATTGCAAAATCTCTTTTAGTTCTTGAGATATCGTGTTTTGAATATAAGTAAAATTTGTAGTATTGTTTAAGTGATTTGCATTAAATTTAAACATTTGTGAAAGATTGAATCTTATGGAAATTTTGACCAAATGTTCACCAAATGACAATAAAAGCATCCCCTTTTCAATAAAGAGGTCCAATTTTATGGACCACTTTTAGTTCTTGAGATATACTAGATTTTGAATATAACCAAAAAACTTTGGCAATAATCTGGATAAAGTTTAAATAATTGTGAAAATCAATTTAATCACCAACTATCAATAAAAGCATCCTCTTTTCAATAAAATAGTCCACATTGCAAAATCTCTTTTTTATCTTGAGATACAATGTTTTGAACATGATCAAATTTTTTTGCAATATTTTGTTTACAATCATTATTACTATCTACTATTATTATCTTTATTTACAATCTTTTTATATACTTTGTAGACGTCAGAAAATAAAAAATTGGAACATTCTTCAATTTCGATCGACTGGATTATTTGGAGGGCAAGAACCTGTTGAACGTGATAAAATTGCACGTGTTTCTGAATACAGAGAAAATAAAATTGTGGACTGCAAATCCTGAAAGAACTCGCCTGAATAATTGATCGCGTTAACCCCGTTTTACCACCTCCCTCATCCCCCCGTAACCCCCAAAGCTAGCAGGATGACGTGGTCCCCACATTGAATTATGATTGTATCGGTTGCCGAGCAACCAGACTACGCTGTCTTTGACGTAAAGCCTACGACGACGGCGACAACCAGAACCGCGTCGACCACATGGCTTTTAATCCACGCTTATTAACTATTTAGAAACTAATATTCAGCATGTTTAATTTCCTAAAAGAAAATGATAAAAAAATATTTTATATGTAATATTTAATCATAAAGTATTAATGTTTAATATGAATAATTATTAACACATTCATCAAAGTGTGTGCCTGATGATGACTATTCACCGAAATCGGTGATTAATTTATTTATTAATTAATATATTAAATAAAGTATGATTAGTAAAATTGAAATTCGTATTAATTACGATGATAATCACTACATGAAGTCGTTTTTAGATTATTCCTCGTTGTGGCGCAAGTCTACGGCGAACGTTGCGACGTTCACAGGAATTCAAGCCCAATAACAAGTGAACACCGCGCGACGCCACACGTTTTGAACGTTCGCTGAAGAAGACACCACGCGTTAAACGACGTTAAGCAGAAGTTTTTAATTACTACACCGCACTTAAAAAATAACCAAAGTAAGCCGTGCCGTTCGTGTTTTTTCTTAAAATCGTTGTTTTTTTATCACTTTTTTTTTGTTGTGATCGTAATATCGTTTTTGCATTCATTGTTCCTAAAGCACATCAACAAGTTTTTTCTGTGACCCGATAAAATGGAAGCAGTAAGTTTTTTTTTATTGACACAGACTCTTTTTTTCTAATTTAATTTTAAAAGCAACATTTGCCAAGAATTTCAAAACTTCACCCACACGTATTTTATTAAATACGTACTTACTTAGATATTTTCGGTATATTTATAAAAAAAATATGGATTGTGAATCCCATGACAACGATGTTACTCATGTTATCGTCTCGTATGCGGTTGTTGATACTCGTTAACCGCTAACCTTGAGTTCTTAATGCGGAGATTCCCCCCTGCGGTTCTAAAAATGACGTAAAAGAAATTAACGAGTCAAGACACATTTTTAGAAGTCACATTTTCGTTTAGCGATACATTAATTAATAAAGCGACTCTTAAATATATATATAATAACTATGCTTTAAGTGTTAAATAATTTAACCTCGACATTTTAAATATTTTTGTGACACAAAATAATCTCATAATATAATAATAAAGTGTAATCATAAATTATAAAGACGTTAAAGATAAAATAATATAAATTCCATTAATATCCCAACAAAATAAGACTTTAAATTTTGAAACAAGCATTATAACACGATATGTTTATTCTCCAAAATAATCGAAATCCCAGCGGAAGTTAATTCTATAAGCAACTTGGAATCGTTATTTTGAAATTAAATGTTTAAAATAGTTTTCAATGTTTAGAAATTTGATATTATTATGAAATGGAGGAGTTGGGTCAATTTGCTTTGATGACACATGAGATTTAGATTAATCATATTCATTAACCATATTGAGTAATGTCCGCTCCGTAACACAAACTGTGGATGATTAGAATCAAATCATCGAGATATTAAACATTTGAGTAAACAATGAAAGAATGTTTCAAAATAAAAAAGTTTATATAAATGATGAGAGAAACTTTGACAAATATTAGGAACCATACAGAAATTAGTTAAGGATGATATTGCAAAATAATGATGAGGTTGGTTAATGATCATGTTGAGAAATAGAGATGATATCGAGGAACGTGAGGGATTCTATTGAGAGATATGTCTCTATGATACTGAGATATGTCTGATATGATCATGTTGAGAAATCCAAGGATAATATTAAGAGCATTGAGTTACCATGATGAGGAAGGCCAGAAGTGATGTTGAGAAAGACGAGGAATACTAGGAATAGCATAAATATTGATGACAATATTATTAGATAGGATATTAAGAAATAATAGATGCCATTGCGAGATACCAGTTTAGACGTAGTTGAACACAAGTCGAGAAGAACTAATGATATTATTGAGAGATATTTTCTGAGTGAAGTCAGAAATGATGTTGAAAGATCTTGTTAATAGAGTTTAGAATAAAATTGAGAGAGATCTGAAGTCAAAGTATGAGATTGGTATTCGAGGTTGATGATGGCAAAGAACGCAATTGAGAGGTATTAATGGAAATACTGAGAGTAATGATAAAGATAATGTGTTTAAAAATAACATAATCTATGTCAACGTTATTTCTAAAGAAGCTTCGAGAAAAGTCACGGACGATCGTATAAATGCTGTGTTATACCGGGTGAGTCGGGAGGAACGGACCAAACTTTAGGAGTGTATTGTACACTAAAATATAATGTAAAAAAACTGATATGTCCTTATCCGTTTTTCTTTTATTTTCTTTTTTTTTATTGCAAAACTACAATTAAACAAAATCTTATACATTAACATTAAATATTGATCATCAACGTTATTTTAATGATTGTTCGAAAATATCGCCATTAACTTCTAAACATTTCCGGCTTCGTTTACTAAGAGCTCTTGTCGAAAATGAAAAAAGAAATGAAAATCAGATAACAACACATGAGTTTTTTACATTATTTTGAAGCGTACAATACACTCCTAAAGTTTGGTCCGTTCCTCCCGACTCATCCTGTATATTTAAGGCGTTATAACTTTCTTATATGATATGGACAAAACTTCGAGATCATATAAAAACGATAGAAAATTTTCAGCTCTATGCGTTGGTGTATAATATTAATCGATCACTTAATTGCAGAAGCAGTGTTCACCCAAAACCTATGAAGATCTCGTATATTTGCTGTATTTAAGTACTTACAGTGTTATAATTTTCTTATATGATATGAACAAAACTCCGAGACCATATAAAAACGATAGAAAATTTTCTGTTCTAATATTAATCGATCACTTGATTGCATAAGTATTTCGCCCCCAAAAACTATGAAGACCTCGTATGAATACTGTATTACACGTTTAAGACGTCATAACTTTATTATCTGATATGGACAAAACTTCGAGACCATGTAAAAACGATAGAAAATGTTCTGCTCTATACGTTGGTGTATAATATTAATCGATCACTTGATTGCATAAGATTGCACTTGCTTGTTAAATGTGTAAATTAAACAATTTAGCAGCGAAGTACACGACGCCATAAAGTATTGTAATTTCTCTCTCTTCTCTAATCTCGATTCTCCAAGGCTTCAGTGAAATTTTGAAAATAAAAAACAAATAAAGAAATGCTCAACATCGTCTATCTTAGAAATCTTTTGTGAACATTTGACGAAATCTCCAGATGATGCTACGATCAATGTGGCGAAACCGGTAGAGAGAAAATAAATAAATTAATCCATTTGAAGTGCAAATATCACAGTTTTTTTACATAATATTAATTGATCACTAAATTGCACCAGCTGTGTTCCCCCAAAACATATTAAGATCTCCTATATTTGCTATATTGAAGTGCTTACAGCGTCATAACTTTCTTATATGGTACGTGCAAAACACTGAGACCATGTAGAAACGATAGACAATTTTCTGCTCTATACGTTGGCGTATAATATTAATCGATCACTTGATTGCATAAGTATTTCTCCCCCAAAAGCTATGAAGACCTCGTATAAGTGCTGTATTACATGATTAAGGCGATATACTTTCTTATATGATATGGACACAACTCCGAGACAATATAGAAACGATAGAAAATTTCCTGCTCTGTGTGTTGGTGTATAATATTCATCGATCACTTGATTGCATAAGTATTTCTCCCCAAAAAACTACGAAGACCTCGTATAAATGCTGTACTACATGCTTAAGGAGTCATAACTTTCTTATATGATATGGACAAAACTCCGAGACCATATAGAAACCATAGCAAATTTTCTCTTCTATGCGGTGGTGTATAACATTAATCGATTACTTAATTTCGCAAGCATTTCTCTCGCAAAAGCTACGACAACCTCGTATAAATGCTGTATTAGATGTTTACAGCGTCATAATTTTCTTATGATATTCACAAAACTCCGACACCATATGGAAACGATAGGAAATTCTCTGCTCTATACCTTGGTGTATAATATTAATCGATCACTTGATTGCATAAGTATTGCTCCCACAAAAACTATGAAGACCTCGTATAAATACTATATTATATGTTTAAGGTGTCATAGCTTTCGTATATGATATGGACAAAACTCCGAGACCATATAGAGATAATAGGAAATTTTATGCTCTATAGGTTGCTGTATAATATTCATCGATCACTTCATCGATTGTAAAAGTATTTCTCCCCAAAAAATTACGAAGACCTCGTATAACATGTTTAAGGAGTCATAACTTTCTTATATGATATGGACAGAACTCCGAGACCATATAGAAACGATAGGAAATTTTCTGCTCTATGCGATGGTGTGTAAGGTTAATCGATTACTTAATTGCGCAAGCATATCTCTCACAAAAGCTACGACAACCTCTTATAAATGCTGTTTTAGATGTTTACAGCGTCATTATTTTCTTATATGATATTCGCAAAACTCCGACACTATCTGGAAACGATAGGAAATTCTCTGCTCTACACGTTGGTGTATAATATTACTCGATCACTTGATTGCATAAGTGTTTCTCCCCCAAAAACTATGAAAACTTCGTATAAATGCTATATTACATGTTTAAGGTGTCATAGCTTTCGTATATGATATGGACAAAACTCCAAGACCATATAGAAACAATAGAAAATGTTATACTCTATAGGTTGGTGTATAATATTCATCGATCACTTGATTGTAAAAGTATTTCTCCCGAAGAAACTACGAAGACCTCGTATAAATGCTGTATAACATGTATAAAGAGTCATAACTTTCTTATATGATATGGACAAAACTCCGAGATCATATAGAAACTATATCAAATTTTCTACTCTATGCGATGGTGTATAACATTAATCGATTGCTTAATTGCGGCGCAAGCATATCTCTCACAAAAGCTACGACAACCTCGTATAAATGCTGTTTTAGATGTTTACAGCGTCATAATTTTCTTATATGATATTCGCAAAATTCAATTCTAAAAACGATAGACAATTTTCTGTTCTATGCGTTGGTGTATAATATTAATCGATCACCTGATTGCATAAGTATTTTTCCCCCAAAAACTATGAAGACCTCGTATAAGTGCTGTATTACATGTTTAAGGCGTCATAACTTTCTTATATGATATGGACAAAACTCTGAGACCATATAGAAACCATAGGAAATTTTCTACTCTATGCGGTGGTGTATAACATTAATCGATTACTTAATTGCGCAAGCATTTCTCTCACAAAAGCTACGATAACCTCGTATAAATGCTGTATTAGATGTTTACAGCGTCATAATTTTCTTATGTAATATTCACAAAACTCCGACACCATATGGAAAGGATAAAAAATTTTCTACTCTATACGTTGGCATATAATATTAGTCGATCACTTGATTGCACCAGCAGTTTTCCACCAGAAACTATGAAGATCTCGATTGATATGGACAAAACCCTGAGACTCTATAGAATCGATAAAAAATTTTCTGCTCTATGCAGTAGTGTATAATAATGACAGAATAAACCCATCGATAGAAGAAAATTCAGATTTAAATGAAGGAAAGATTAAGATTTCTAATGGTGCATTTAATATTCCGATATTTCCAAAGATAAGGATGATATCGGCAAGTAAGTTAGGTGGAAAATGAAGATAAAACTTTGTTTCAGAGGGCTACTATAATTCCAGCACTAAATTTAAGGAAATCTTAAATCTTTTCTTATCTATACTTACTGCCTAATCATATTTCATAATTAAAGCAACTCTCATTTTAAAATTTTCGCTGCAGCAAATCAACGTGGTTGTTCCATATTTTTGTAGACAAGTTTCAAGATAATAATTATTATATTAATAAAAAATCATAAATTTTCGATGAATTTGTTATTGTATTTTGTGATCTTCACAACCTTGATAAACAAATATTAAGTTGAGTTAACCTTCAGGAAATTATTCCAATTAGAAACAATTATTTTTTAAATCCATAAATCGAATTGGTTCAACGAAACTAAACGAATCGTTTAGAACAACTTTTGCAAATCCAATAAATTTACAAAGTTCCCGCAGTCCGACCACGTATACCAGGTTAAGTCGGCTAATAATAAACCATTAGTAGTATCGACCGGATTCGCGCCTTCACGTTCGAATGCAAATGTCCTATTTCACACTTAAATAGAGAATGAGAGTCGATTGAACCGCCGCCGATTTATTTATTATTAAGGTTAACCTTCAATTCTTTAACGTTGGATACGTCTTATTTTTCAAAATTTTTACTAATTTTTTTAAATAATCTTAAAAATATCTTTTTTGGTTTACTAATATTTACCCGATTTAAACCGCGCGAAATCGCAAAAGTAGGTGTGTTAAGTTATTAAAAAATTATTTATAAATTTATAACGATTACTTAATTCAAACATTAATAAAATAAATTGAAATAACTGAACTAAGAAATTCACAAGAAAATCAACGTGAGATCGATTGTTTTCAGTACACAAGTTTAGTTTGAAAGTAAGTTTAATTTTAGAAACCTCCTGAATCACCCGTAACGGTCTTTAAAAGCACCGGGCCCTAAACAAATTTGTTTACGCTACTGGAACCAGTTTTTGAAAACAAACGATTCACTTAGTTGAGTTGGTTCTCTTTTAACAAGCTGTTTAGGATGGACACAAAACAAATAAACCAAAACAGACGAAATTTAAGAGATAATGATTTTTTTTAGGTGGCTGAATCAAGAGTATCCCCTGAAATGTCGACTATAACGACAACAAACGGTCATAGAAATCAAGAAAATTTCGCTAAAACTGTTTTTGGGGGTAAGTAAAAAAAAATCTTTTTAATACTGTTAAACCTCGATATAACGGAGCTCGTTAAGTCATATACTGTTAATATTACCTATTTAATACATCAGTATATTTAAATATTAATATTAGTGCGAATAGAAAGAATCCAACTCTGCTTATTCCTCAAGTTGCTCTCTTTTATGTTTATAGATAAATTCAGGGTATTCCCCGAGTTGTCTAGGTATACGATGTATAAATCAAGGATGGTAGTTCTAGTTTTAATTGTTATTCACCGCTAGATTGTTGTATATTTTTATTGAACGAGAAGTTGAACTAACATCTTAAGAGATGTACGGCTAAACCCGAATGTTTTGTTCTATGTCTAGTTTTAGTTCAAGTGCAAGTGTTAGTTCTAGTTTTAGTTGTTATTCAGCGTTATATTGTTATATATTTGTCATTGAACTAAAACTAGAAGTAATACTAGACCTAGAACTAGAAACATTCGGATTTAGCCTCACGTCTCTCAAGACGGCTAAACCCGAATATTTCTACTTCGTGGTCTAGTGTTAGTTCTAGTTTTAATTGTTATTCAAAAGTCGCTCAATGTCTTCGTGGTCACTTCAAAACCATCAGATTTCATATGATATTGGTGTTTGTATTAATTGAGGTTGCTTTCTCCGTCAGTTGTAATCCAGATAATCTCGGTTTTTTGTCGGCCAACATCTTCTGGTTAATTTTGTACATAATCTGCTTTCTAGAACGTACCAACCTCAATGAAAATTAAACGGCAGATCATTTAGCACCAACATTTCTGATTTTTTTGACAAAATACAACCTCGGTCGACTTCAAAGACGTCGGCCGCCCTGAACTATCTCTTATTCTCAAATCCAGAGTATTCATTCAAGTTCTTGAGAGTCAAAAATCCATCAAATTTCATATATTGTTCATGTTTGTATTAATTGGGCCGGCCGTCGTCTTCGAAGACGGCCGAGGTTGCTTTCTTCATCAGTTGCAATCCAGATAAACTCGGTTTTTTGGCGGCCGACGTCTTCTGATTAATTTTGTACATAATCTGCATTCTAGAACGTACCAACCTCAATGAAAATTAAACGGCAGATCATCTAGCACCAACATTTCTGATTTTCTTGGCAAAATACCACAGTTAAACCCAAAACTTTCTAGTTCTAGGTCTAGTGTTAGTTCTAGTTTTAATTGTTATTCAGTGTTAGATTGTTGTATATTTTTATTACTTGATACTATGTTAATACAAAGCAAGATAGTCTTTATGGATGATTGGCATTTGCTCTGACAATAATCTAGTATAGATGGTTTCTTTATTGGAGTGCTTAGATCGGGTTCTAGGATGTTATGTGTATAATCGTATCTAATGCAGCCGAGGTTGCTTGCGGCCGGGGCTGCAGCTTGACATCATGTTGATACAAAACAAGATAGTTTCTATAGATGAATGGCATTTTTCGTACAATATTCTAGTATAGCTAGATCGAGTTCTAGGGTGTTAAATGAATAATCTTATCTAATTCAGCCGAGACTGCAGCTTGATACCATGTTGATACAAAACAAGATAGTTTTTGTAAATAACTGATAGTTTTCTAACAGTATACTAGTTGGTTAGTTTATTGGAATGCTTAGATCGTGTTCGAGGATGTTAATGTACCGTAAGATGGGGTTACTTGGACACGTTTTTTTGCAAATTTTTCAATATTAAAAGTGAAGAAATAAAGTTAGGGCATCAGAAACTTGTTCATCATACCAACCTAACTTTCAGGATTATATAGCTATCATAAAACATTGAAAATACCTCATACAAACAACAAAAAATATATAAAAAAGTGATGTTCGAATAGCCCCGTTTTTGGGGCTTCTTGGACACTAAACTTCGTTTTAGGGACAATCTCTTATTCATCATTTCGCATTGAAATCATAATCATAATCATAATCATAATCATAATCTTTATTGTGCCATAAGATAGTTCTCTTACACTCGTCAGTTCAATTTACAGGTTCACATTTACTACTAAGAAATATCAATATTACATTTTAAAAATTCATCGACGGAGTAAAACGCATTCGAAACCAAGAAATGTGTCAGTTTACGTTTCATAGTAAGAAACGGAAGACTTCTGACATTCAACGGCAACTTATTAAATAGCTTTTGACACATGTATGTTGGACCCCGTTGCGTCATACTCAATCTACACTTATCAACATACACATTACAACGATTACGAGTTGCATATTTGTGAACATCAGCATGATTTAAAAGCTCGTCGAAATTGTTCAGAGCATACAATAAACAATTTAATATGTAAATAGATGGCAGGGTTAGAACGCCTAAACGCACGAAGATGTGTCGACAGTCCTCACTGTATCCCAGGCCTCCCACAACTCTTAGGGCCCTACGCTGTAAGTTAAAAACCCGTTTGCTAGCGGGAGTGTTTCCCCACGCTAAAATGGCGTAAGATATATGGGTTTGTATAAGCGCGAAGTAAGCGGCTTTTACTACTTCTAGTTCCACCCAAAAAGATGTTTTTTGAAATTTTCTTACTTATAGCGTCAACATGATGATCGAACTTCAATATTGGAGTGGTTATGTGAACTCCCAAGAATTTTCCAAACGACGGGTTACCAAAATTAGTAAAATTAAAATTTCTCTGACTTAAAATCATTCTGACTGTTTTCCCATCATTCAAACACAAATGAGAGCAGCATGTAAACATACTTTGCAGAAGGCTGATCGGCAACATTTTTATGTTGAATAATTAAATTTTGCAGACTCTCTAACAAGGGAAGTGTCATGACTGAGTCTCACCGATTTCGATGAAATTTGGTACAGTCATAGAATGGGCCAAAATAAGGTTCGCACATTTTTTTATACGTGCGGTAAAAGTTGAAAGTTTGGAGAAAAAGTACGTTTTCACTTATATTTTGAAAACGAAAAGTGCTATCAAAATTTCGTGAATTGCAGCTGATATTCATTTTAAAAGAGCTTTCTTTTGGTGTATCACACATATACCAGAGGGTTAAAAGGGGCGAACTACCCCTATTTTTTCGGGTTTATTTAAAAACCACCCTATCGATTTTGATGACGTTAAATATACATACTTGTAGTGCATTCAAAAATATTTGTTAAGTGTTTTTTTCTCATTCATCGTAGATCAACCCTAGCAATGTTACGAGGGTTAACATGTAACTACTTTTCGTAAGAATGATGTGATAAAACTGTTAGGTATTTTGAAAATACTTTAAACAAAACCGTAAATTAGTCTCACAATAAAATGTTTTATATTTGAAGTAAAAATCTATCTATATCGATGTTCCACGAGGTGAACTCCCCTCATTTTCTTTACATAATAAATATAAAATTACTAGATAAATTATACCAAATTGGTTGTTTTATATTACTAATTGACGTTTTTTATTTATTTCAATGTTAAATTTATTTTTATTCTACATAGTGTCGGCAAAAATGAAAGTCGTGGAAAAAATGTTTTAAACATAAGGATTTTTTACACCATGCACATGTTATGACCGCTATATCCCCACAGATATCACATGTTGGCTTCTCACACGAAAAGCAAACTTCCACGGAATTTTCAAAATGGTCTGGTCTCTCCTCTATATAGCCACTTGCAACCCATGCGTATTTAAAAATATTTATAAATCAAGAGGAAGACAACTGGTTATGCGTTAGGGATTGCAATTTTAATATATTATCCCTCTGATGTAAATTGACATCATACTGGTAAAGAATAAGAGAATCCTCTAATAAAATTTTTCCATATTCTGAAACCAAATACATCTAGGGGCTGTATTTCACCTGTTGTTCCTGAAAATTAGTATTTGATGGAGTCATTTCACTAATAACTTTAGGACAATGGCCACTCCAAAAATGTAATAATAATAATGATTTAGAATCAGTATTTGGAAAATATACATTTTGTAGCCAATTTTTCATGTGTTCTGAAGTTAACTTTCCAGATTTTGATGCCAAAACGTATATATTGTGTGCCTTAAACATTGTAGTTGCTACCCTCGGTCCAAAGCTTTCCCATCAGCAGATATTACGGGTTGAACTGAAAAAACGTCAATTAGTAATATAACATAAACTTCTTTGGTATAATCAACCATTTCTTTTGTCAGTTGCTTTTTAACTCATAAATAAATAAAATATCTTATTTATCTAGTAGTTTTATATTTATTATTTATAGAAAATGAGGGCAGTTCACCTCGTAGAACATCGATATAGATAGATTTAAAAAAAACAATACTCATTTAACAAATTACGATGGCAATTTTCATTTTCGAGATATAAACAAAAAACTACCCCTAATTTGTAACCTTTATAACCATTCTCAAAAATTTTTACTTCATATATAAAACAAACAAGTAACACTCAGGATAGAATTAATTTTCAAGGGGGTGGTTAAACCCTAATCACCCCTAAATGGTGTATTATGCCTTATTTTACACTACACATTTTATTATGAGGCTAATTTACGGTTTTGTTTAAAGTATTTTTTAAATACCTGACAGTTTTTTCACATCATTCTTACGAAAAGTAGTTACATGTTAACCCTCGTAACATCGCTAGGGTTGAGCTACGATGAATGAGAAAAAGCAGTTAACTAATATTTTTGAATGCACTAGAAGTATATTTAACGTCATCAAAATCGATAGGGTGGTTTTTAAATAAATACGAAAAAATAGGGGTAGTTCGCCAATTTTAAATCTCTGGTATATGTGTGATACACCAAAAGAAAGCTCTAACACTTCCCTTATAAATCACAAAAAGGTGTAGATTTTACTGCGCTCAAGTTTTATAATAAATTACCTTTAACGGTTACATTTTTACCTCTGAGCAAGTTTGCAATATTGATAAAGCAATTTCTGCTGTTGATAGGTTTCTATTCTTATTCAGAGTTCCTTGAATATAAATTTTTTGAAAGGGCATCGGTCGTGACAGTACCAATTCATAGAATGATGATCTACATATACAAACAACATTACAAAA